GAGAACAATCTTTTAACCTATGCATAGAACTCTTACATTTTTTATATAAAAGCATTTGAGATAAAATATCAAGGTTATCAAAAAATTGAACAGCTTGCTCTGTGTCTTGAGTTTTAAAATAGATATCGCCATAAGTTTTTACTAATATAAGTGAAGATAAAGCTATTTCTTTATTTTGTATCATTTTTTTTTTTTTTTTTTAATTTAGAAAAAAGGCAATTCGATAAGTCAAACAAGAAAAGGTAGATTAGAGAAAAAAAGCAATGTGAATCAAGCAAGAAAGACGTATTAGGTAAAAAAAAAAAGCAATATAATATGTTAAACAAGAAAAAGCGAATAGGAGAAAAAAAAAAGTAATTTGATATATTAAACAAGAAAAGGTAGATTAAAAGAAAAAAAACAATACAATATTAAATAAGAAAGGTGAATTAGAATAAATTTAAGATAAAGCTGGAAACAAATGTCAATACAAAGAATGAAGGTAATATAGCACTTCTTTTATAGAAAAAATTGCTATTGATAATTTATTTTTTAACAGATATTCGAAGTGTTGGCCTATAACAAAAGTATTTTTTTTTTATTATTATAATTTGGCATGCATACAACTATGATCAAATTAATTTAATATTTTTATTTTTATCATTACGAATTAGTACATATCTCTTTAGAATAAGTTAAAAAATTTTTAATTTCATCATTATGAATTTGGCATGCATATCAAATTAGGCGTTCCTTCTCGCAAACTTACGAGGCTAATTTGCCGAGCTCCTTAACTATATTTTAATTAATTTTATTATCATGAATTTGATATTTATATCCTTAAGTTCAAATTAATTTTATCTTTATCATTACGAATTTAAATGCATATTTTTAGGATCAAATTAATTTAATCTTTACTTTTTTATCTTTGTGATTTTGATATTTATTTATATTAATCGATTTATATATTATTATTAATTTATTTGATATAATAAAATTATTTATTTATTTATTTATTTAATTTAATTGCATATGTATATACATTATTGTGTGATGACAATTAATTTATTTAATAATTTATTGTATATTGTTTTTTAATAATTTATTTATAGCATTATTCAAATGCATAAATCTTAACTATTTATGATAAGTATTCAAGAAAACAATCTAATACTAATATTATGAATAAATATATACAAAGTCTCTCTAAATGTACAACTACCAATTTCAACCCAAATATATACATAACTTCAATAAATGCATAATTTTTTACTGTTCATTGCTAAAATTTGGTTCCTGTAGGGCATTTAGAGGTTTGACTATACTTCTAAAACAACATAAGGACTAATAGAGTATAGTTCTGCATCATTTATTAATTTCTACTTTTTTACTATCACGTATTGCCCTTCAGATCATTTCATTCTCATAAATCATTTTATCTAAGAATATTTATTAATAATGGAATTAAAATAAAAGTGACAAATTAAAAACATAAATACTTATTTACTATTATGTATTACCATTCAAATCATTTCATTTGCATTAATAATTTGTCTAGCACGTAAGTATAGAGAACATCATTAATCATTGAAATTAAAAAAAGCAAACCAAGTTCAAATCAAGTGTATAAATACTTATTTACCATTACGCACTGCCCTTCAAATTATTTAATTCGTATTAATTATTTCATTTAGTCTATGAATATAAAGACTATTGATTGCTGAAACTAAAATTCAGTAGTGGTTTTTAATACCTAATGAATGCTTCTAAAGTAACACAGTTAGCACAAAAACACCAAAAGAATAAAAATAAAATAAAAAAACAGAACACAGCCACCCAACTTAATCTTCACACTAACATAGGTTATTCATTAATCAGTAGAAATTCAAAATAGCATGTCAATTTTGAATTGATAGAAATCAGTAAATAATGAACAGTGTCAATAAAATAAATAAAATTACAGTATAAAGAAAGAATATCAGAAGAATAAAAAAAAATAAAAAAATAACAAGATAAGACTACCCACCCAACTTAACATTCATGCTAAGGTTATTTATTAATCAGTAAAAATTCAAAAATGATATGTCAATTCCGAATTAATAGAAATTGGTAAACGATGGATGACAGTGCCCCTAAAATGAATAAAATAACAGCATAAATAAAGAAAACCAGAATAAAATAAAAAAAAAACAAGACATAGCCACCAACTTAACCTTCATACTAACATAAATTATTCGTTAATTGGCAGAAATTCAAAAATGACATGTCAATTCTGAATTGACAGAAATTGGTAAATGGCAAATGACAGTTAGCATAAAGAAAGAATAAAAAAAATAAAAAATAAGACACAACCACCCAACTTAACTTCACACTAACAAAAGGTAGCATTAATAAGTGATATAAAACATTTGTTAATCAGTGAAAATTCAAAAATAACTAATTCTGAAATAACAGGAATCAATAAACGATGCACAACAGTGCTACTAAAATGAATAAAATAATATAGTTAGCATAAAGAAAGAAAGAATGCCAGAAGGATAAAAAAAAAAAAAAGCAGAACACAGTAACCAAACTTAATCTTCAAGGTTTATGACAATACTTTTGGTTCGAATTTTATATTAGATGCATAATGGTTACACATACTATCACATATCATGTGTTATGTGATTTGATATGTGCCACATGATTTTGTTTATATTTTCTGACCAATTAAAATTAATGTAATTATTTCGAGGGTGACACAATTCGCAATAATCACTGAGTTCAGTGTTCTTGAAGTGCCCCGAAAATTGGCACAACTCAGAGTCCATAACTCAGGATAGAGTTAGTAGTTTAATTTCGTAAGTCCTTCGTAAGATATAATTTAGAGCTCTATTTGATCCTAATAACTAGTGCTCCGAACGGGTCGGGTCAACCCGAAAACCCAACCCGAAATTTCGGGTCGGGTCAGGTTTGGGTTAGAAATTTTTAACCCAAAAATTTCGGGTTGGGTTCGGGTCAGGTTCGGGTTGAGCATTAACCCGACCTGACCTGACCCGAGATTTTTTATTTAGTTTGGTCTTTTGTTCATCAGAATGGCATGTTAACTTAGTATCTGATAAATTCGATTTTTGTATAGTTGATCATATACCAGAATGTAACTGCATTGTGCAGCTACTTTATATAAAGGGAATTATCTGCATATATTACCTGATCATAAGTCTAATCAGTATAAAAATAGGGTTGCTAAATAATATATATTTTGTAGATACTACTAATTGTTGTTTGATTGTGTAATTTTCTTCGATATTCAATAAAATAATCTTTTTTTTTAAACAATTTTGTACAATCACACAATCGAACAACTATCATATATTTATATATAAGAGCTGCAGTCTATAAAATTTAATCAGGTTGTAAATAATAATAAAATACTCAAGTGTTTTTCTATTACTATATTTTTTTTATTTTAGCTAATCTTGAATAGATTTATTTTCATTCTAACTGATCTGAATGAATATATATATATACTAATATAATTAATTATTCGATTTAAGCTATATTGAGATAGATTCTAAGATATATAAAGTTAAACTTATTATGCATACGTATTAATTATTTTATATAAACCTAAAATAATAATTATTTAATAAATCTGAATATCATATTTAATCCATATTTTATAAATACCATTTTGTTTTTATCTCGATATCAAATTTTTGCTATATTTATTTAAATAAACTTTTCAATCAAATAAATTATTAGTAAGTATATATTAAATTCTTAAATTATTGTTATTTAAACTTGTTATTATTTAGGAAACTGCTATTTACAACACATATTTTGCTATTCACACTAAGAATTTGCATCGTAGTTATATAAATCCTTTAACATAATTATTTACAAAATTTTAAACTTTAATCAAAATATCTCAACAACCAATTGATCAAATTTGATGAACATTGGTTAATTTGGATTCTATGGATATGTAGAATTTGAATAAAAAAATTTTCATTAAATTTAATCATTTGGTTGCCAAGATATTTTTGATCAAAGTTTTCTAAATAATTTTAACAGTTTTTATATAATATATGTTTTAAAACTTTACTTAAACTTTAATCAAAAATATCTTGGCAACCAATCTATCAAATTTGATGAAAATTTTTTTATTCAATTCTACAAATCTTTAGAATTCGAATAAAAAAATTTTTATATAATTTTATCAATTAGTTGCTGAGATATAATTGATCAATTTTTGTAACCAATTTTGGCAGTTTTTTATAGCTACGTTTTAAAACTTTGCTCAAACTTTGATCAAAGATATCTCAGTAACTAATCAATCAAATTGATAAATTTTTTTTTATTTGAATTCTATAAATCAATAGAATTCGGATAAAAAAAAATTCATCAAATTTGATCGATTAGTTACTGAGATATCATTGATCAAACGTTTATAAAAAATTTTGGTGCAGTTTTTATGTGATATACGTTTTAAAACTTTACTCAAACTTTGATCAAAAATATCCTGGCAACCAGTAGATCAAATTCAATAAATTTTTTTTAATGAATTCTATAAATCCATAGAATTTGAATAAAAAAATTTTGATCGAATTTGATCAATTGGTTGCCAAGATATCTTTGATCAAAAATTTTGTTGCAGTTTTTATATAATCTATGTTTTAAATCTTTATTCAACCTTTGATCAAAGATATCTTGGCAACCAATTGATCAAATTCAATAAAAATTTTTTTAGTAGAATTCTGCTAATATATAGAATTTGAATAAACCAATTTTTATTAAATTTAATCAATTTGTTGCTAAGATATTTTGATCAAATTTTAAGTTTATTAATAAATATTTTATAAAATATTATAATTAATTTATTTACAAGTTTATTATAAAATTTACTTTTTTATAAATTAATTATTTATTAACTAATATATTTATAAAATAGTTGTTTATAAAATAAGCAGTATTATTAAATAATAATTATAAAATATTAATTTATATTTATAATGAATTTATATTTATAGAATTTAAATATGGAATCTGAAGAAGATAATATTTTTGTTGATAAAAATTATATTGTTGAAAATAATTATTCTGAAATTATTGATGATAATACTTCAGATAATATTAGCTCTAATCAAGAAAGAGATGAAATTAATTCCATTAATGAAGATAATATTAGTGAAAATGAAGCTAATATTAGTCAAGCAAATGAAGAAAATATAGATATGGATACAAATGATAAATCAAATTTTAAATCATTGTTCATCAACATTTTACTTTAGATAAAAAAATTAAGAAATATAAATGTAATTATTGCAGGTAAATTATTAATTTATATTTAAATTTTTTATATAATATATTTAGTTTTTAATAATGTATATATTTAATAATAATAATTTAGTTCAAAGTATAAAATACCAAAAGATAAATCAACATCTGCTTTAAAAAGACATCTTGAAAAAAAACATAAAAATATGATTACAAATGAGAAAATTACAGGAGCAATAAATAAATTTGTTAAAAAAGAAGAATTGGTAAATATAATATTTGAAATTTTTAATAATTAATTTTAATAATTTATAATGTATTATTTTTTTATTAATTATTATAAAATAAATTTAAAATTATTTAAATAGTTATTTACACAAGAAAATTGGTATAATGATTTAATTAATTGGATTATTTCTGATAATCAATCTTTTATTGTTGTAGAAAATAAATTTTTTCAAACTATGATTAAAAGACTTAATAATATAGCAAATATTCACAAAATTATTAAAACTTTTAATCATGAACAAGCCAATTTACAAAAAAAATTACAAGAAATACCAGGCAAAATTTCATATACTATTGATACTTGGACTTCTAGAAATCAAAAATCGTTTATTGGAATAACAGGACATTGGATTTCAAATGATTGGAAACTTCAACAATGTACTATTGAATTTTGTCATTTTGAAGGTTCTCATACAGGAAAAAATTTATCTGAAGTATTTTTTAAAGTATTAAAAGATAATAATCTTTTAACAAAAGTAATTTATTTTTATTATTTTTTTATAAATAAAATTAATTAATAACTAATTAATTTTTATTTTTTAGATAATGAGTATTACTACTGATAATGCCTCTAATATGAATTCTATATTTACTAATTTAGAAGAAAAATATTTTAATGAAGATTTAGAATTTAGTTCTGCAAATCAACATGTATATTGTCTTGCTCATATAATTAATTTAGCTGTTCAAAAAATTCTTAAATCATTATATAATTATAACTTTGAAGAAAATGATGAAGTTGATGAATATAGTGATAATAATGAAGAA